CACTTTAGTATGTTAGGTCAAAAGTAATTGAGCTGACAAGAGAGAAGGAGTACGGTACTCTGCCAGTGTGAAGAATCTACAGAGGTATTACCAGTCACTAGTAGCAAGAGATAGACCACATTGAATGATGACGGTGAGGACGAATCATATGAAGTACTATCATAGCTAGTACAGAAATTCTACTGTCTTTACTTTACTTTCTTTCACTCTGTACATGCAATTAGCTCACTGGCATGAATTTTAAAATAAAGGTTATGATAATCATATTATATGTATAGCTTATTCAATGTATGGCTTCATAGTTTATGTGATTGTTAATAACACCTGCACAGAGCATTTCCATACTGACAGTATGTCTTTATTCAAGTGTTTTGGTAGGTATTTCAAGCTTTTCTGCTCCAGCATTGGAATGCGGGGCATGAACGTTTTTTTTTTTTTGAAAATCAACAGTTTGCATTATGCAATTAAAAATCCTAACCAATAAAGTAGGGAATAGCTATCCAACTGTTGTTTTAGTTGTATGTTACTTCATATTATAGTTATATCAATGTAAATCATTGTTTTCCCTTGTGTTTCTCATTCTTTCCCTGCCATGTCGTAAAATGTGGTGAACCCATCGCTGTATTTGCTCCAAAGCAAATATTGGCCTTTCTAGTTACTATTATTTTATATTACCTTATTTTCTGTATGGGCTCCCTTGGAAATCAGCCCCAAGGGACTGAAGGGACCACTCATGTGTCTTCAAGATGAATAAATAACATTAAAAAAATAAAAAGAGGGGATTCATTCCTCAAGCTAACCGAAATCTTGCACACGCAGTCGTCCCTCAGTAAGACATCTGGAGCCACATAGTTCCTGCTTAGAACTTTTATTCAGCCTGTCACACTGTTACAAAATTTGTACTCGTTAACACCTTTTGAAATTCTTCATGAACATGAAATTCTGTATAAACTTCATTCGTACTCGAGTGCCAATAATCACGTGATCATAGATACTCGAGTACCAGTTGGCACGTGATCATTGGTACTCGAGTCACTTCACCCCTGAAGAAGGTCGACGGATGTGCGACTGAAAATTCGTGGTAGCAACAGTCTGATTGTGTTGAACTAAAGAACTAACTTCTCTATGAAATGTACCAACACTGAAATGAGCTTTCATTATAGATTTCATCTCCGCTTTAGAATGAGACTTTTCCATCTAGCTATTAGACTTTTCCATCTAGCTATAGATGTAGTCTGAATTTGATATTCTTTTAAATGCCTTACATGCTAAAATATTCTTTTTAATGCCTTACCTATCCTGCTCACCCACATGTGTTCTTTCTAACTGCTTATAGCCATTCGTAGGCATTCCTCTAAGAAGAAAGGTAAGCCTTAGTCGCTACTTATTCAAAATAGAAATTAGTGGGGTCACACTGGCATAACGGCAGAGTGTTCGCCTCGGAACCAAGAGGTCCCGGGTTCGAATCCTGCCATGCCACCCATCTTGTGCCCTTGGGAAAGGCACTTTACACGTAACTCAGGTGAAAATGAGTATGTCTGCTGTCCGTGCGTTTGTTTACGTTGATGGCGGCATAAAAAATAAGTTGGAAAAACTTGAGTGTGCCGTCACCGTGTATTGTGACAAATTATAAATGTTGGAATAGAAAAGAAAACATAGAAACTATGAGGCTTCAAATGATGTTCAAATGACTAGATAACACGTTCAAATGACTAGATAACACGTTCAAATGACTAGATAACACGTTGATGGCATCAATTGTGTGAATATTGAATTTGCATTTGCCTAGACGAAATTCGTTCCTTTCTTACATGTTTTAAAAAATGCAAACGCAGGTAACGACCAAAGTGCGGAAGTCGTCAACATCTTGTTTCGAGATGTTCCCTTTCTCTTGGAAGGTGAAAACCAGACAAGGTATGACCTGATGTTTTGTCATTTGTTGAGTGAGTTAAACTAATTACGGCGAATTACATATCTGTGATACGGACTGCTGAGTTATAACCCACGTATTAGGTCCTTTTTTTATGTTTACCGAAGGTAAACATATTGTTTTTGCTCTGTTTCCTATTCTTCTTCTCCAAACTAATAAGGTCAACGACCTGAACAAGACGTCTGTCACCATGGTAACTGGCGTTGGGTTACATCATGTTGCAATTTTATAGCAGGATGGGTTTAGACTCCTGTCTGACCATACATATGAATGTATTTGAGTAAGAATTAACAGAGCAGACCATATGCGAAGGTAAACATTATGCATGTTTTCATAACCTTTCTAGTTATGGTATCAATTGGCTCTTATATACAGTGTCGTACTAGTACTGTATAATGTGCCTATCTACCTCATCTATGTTTTCAGTCAAGAAAATTGCAATTAAGAAATTGATTACATCAATTTTCCAGTGTTTTCAGCAATGGGACGGTAGGGAGTGTGGTGATATCCTCATCGGTGTATCCGCCAATCAAAAAGCGCTTCACTGAAGCAATCAAGATTAAGTTTCTACACGAGGAGGTAAGGGAACATCTCCACCAATAGTATCCCCGATTTTATCTATAGTTGAGATGAAAACGAAGAGCTTTCAGTGTTCTGATTGGTCAATAGTGTTGCCCTCGTACACATGATTTTTCTTTTTAGTCTTACGACAGACATTAGGGTAGGTACTAACCATGTGAGCAAATGCAATGATATAAGATTAAGTACTTCATAGCAAGAGCCAAGAAACGCTAGCTATGTAGTGTAGTTTAGTGAGTACTGACAGTCTTACACCAAGACCTTTCTTTTGGCTATAATATAACCACATCTTTAAAGACATCTTTGTATCTCTGTTACTACAGATACCTGCGGACATGTACAGTCGGCGATGTGTGTTTGTCAATGATGATGGGGACGTAACTGAAGAGTAAGGCACTCCGATATTCTCTATGATTTCTCATCCTGATGTCACCCTGATGATCCTGTAAACACTTTATGTATCTATTCAAGAAAACGTCGCTCTGTTGAGTATAGAACTGTATTCTAACTTTCCTCCCTTGGCAGTTCAGTCTTGTAGACTATCTTCACGACTCTGACTTCCTGTGTGGCTTGAAAGTCCGGCCTTGGTTTTGCAAACTCTGCTGTATACACTGCATGTGTATTGTGTAGTTAGGGGTGCAGTTTGTGCTGTAGCCTTTCGCAGTCTTCGTTTCTCTGCTGCAGCTTCTCCCCTCCTCTTATCTGCATCTGCAATACCGTTCTGCACAACTCTGCGCCAGGCAGCTCTGTCCTCAGCCTGCGCTTCCCATGTGTCTGTTGAGATGCCACATGACTTCATGTCCCTCTTGCAAATGTCCTTGAAGCGCAGTGCTGGACGGCCAACTGTATTCTACTGCCCTTGCTATTGCTATATTCGAGAATATACATGGTTCAACGAACATGTAGGTCCTGACCTGGCATTTATTTTCAAGGAATCAGTGGAGTGCCGAGGGATGTGAAGTGGAAGAGTCCACCGACACCTGCACCATCTGTAGTTGTAACCACCTGACCAACTTCGCCATTCTCATGCAACCTGTGGACCTAGAAGTACGTCTTTTCATTCAAACCAATTTCGGATTTCCTAGTTAGGCCACACTGATTTGATTTTATGTATGGCATCCGCACGCACATTGACTTTCGCCTGTTCACGAACAAACAAACAAGCAAACAAACAAACAAGCAAACCTCCCCTGAGGCTCTGGCCTGGGTGCCATCCTCCGTTGTCCATGATAACTACAGAGGACGGCACCCAGGCTGCCGATGCTCCACCGAAGTCATGAACTCAGTACAGTGCTGATTCATAAATACCGCAAAAAGCCAGCAAGTGCCGGCTTGTCGTAAAAGTCGCTATGTACTGCCGCAAATTCACAATACCTGCTTTGTATCCCTGTGGTTTAGCAGCATTTTTTTCTAGCTGAATTTTTTTTCATTCGCCCGCGCGCACTAGTTTGGGGTCTCCAGAAGATGCCATCCATAACATTAAGTCAGTGTGACCTTGTTGGTTTCAAAAGTATCCCATACACGTATAATTACGAATGTATATCAATGGATCACAAGAATGAAAATTGTTGTTGCTGTGCAGTTAACAGACGACCAGCAGGGGGCGCTGTGGTACATCACCCTGGTGGGATCTTCCGTCTCACTGTTGTCACTGGCGACGACAATCTTCCTGCTGCTTTTCTTCGGGTAAGCTGTTATGTCGACTTGACCCTAGGCATTGTGCTGAAACTCTCTAACCTAATACTATACCGCTTCCGATCAAATACTTTAAAACCAATTTTAAACACGAAAATCATAAAACATTGCGAAGAATTATGAAATAAAGACTAAACTTTTCTTCCAACACTGGAATGAATGGGGGCTTACGCCAAATTTTCGGCTGACTCTTTCAATCTTGTTCACGGAATGGACCCGTCTACTCTTGGAACGTGACGTCAGAGACACGTGACCGTAGTAGCGGGTCATACAAGCCAGATAACTTGTGTCGCCCCCTGTCTTTGTCAGGGTAGGTCAGAGAGTTCTAATGTAGACCGCCTCCTTCACTCCTCTTGCACAGAAGTTTTTACAGTTTTCTGTTCGAATTTCTTCAGTTGCTGGAAGACAGAGCGGTCGTTCCTCCTGATGAATCTGGTCCTGGCCCTCATGGCGGCACAGGTCACCTTCCTAGCGGGTATCAACGCAACGAACAACCAGGTGTGTACGGTCTACGTACTCAGTTAATCTGGCATTATGGACAAAGAGTTCCTTGATTTGGCCAAATTACGTAAAGACTATGCTACGAGGTTACGAGCACATTGATGATAGCCAAATCGGTCGTGCAGAAGTGTTAACCATGCTGATATTCCAAGGGCCTGTATCTAGAAAGCTTGTGAAAGCGGGGTGGTAGACACCATGATGCTTATTGTTTGTTTGTTTGTTTGTTTGTTTGTTTGTTTGTTTATTTAACCAGGAAATGCATGTCGCCTATTTGCGTTTTTCAAAGATTCCTGGGGGGGGGTAACCCCAACAAAACTACATGACATTATAATTATAACAAAAGATTAAAGATGAACTAACAAAGGTCAACTATAAAATAGATAAACTTATCGTGAACAAGACGAAATCGTAACTAACTCATCAACAATCAAATGAAATAAGGTAACATAGACGTAATAATAATCGTTCAGATATCAACTTCGTATGCAGCACACATCCGACGATTTTTAGTCGGATGTGCTACATTATTCTTTTCAAAAAGCCCAAGCCGATCATGACCAGGTATAGGCTTTTGTTACCATAATTTCGTATGTCGCTGAAAGAAAGGAACTTGTAATATTTGTTTGTTTGTTTGTTTGTTTGCTTGTTTGTGTATTTAGACAACATGCCGAGCAGTTGCCATCCTGATCCACTACTTCTTCCTGGCGTCGTTACCATACTTTCGTTACCATAATTTCGTATGTTCGGGACTAATAAACATTTGTTTGTTTTGTTTTGTTTGTTTGTTTGTTTGTTTGTTTGTTTAGACGACATGCCGAGCCGTTGCCATCCTGATCCACTACTTCTTCCTGGCCTCTTTCTTCTGGATGATGGCCCACGGGATCCAGCTCTTCTTCAAGGTAATTTTCCTTCAAACGTAACCAACAGATACTATCATGAAAGTTCATCTGTGTTGGTAGTTACATGTTTAAAGTTAAAACTTTTGATCCAACACAAAGAAATTCTCTCACCTAGAGCTTTCGACCAGTCATTCTGGTCTTCCTCAGTAGACTGACCCAGTGAGGCTTGTCACGTGGCTTCTTTGAAGTGTGACGTCAACACTGGGTCAAAGGTATCTGGTAGACGATGTCGGCCCCCGTCGCGGTTCAATGAAGGCACGTGACAAGCTTCACTGGGTCAGTCTACTGAGGAAGACCAGAGTGACTGGTCGAAAGCTCTAGGTGAGAGATTTCTTTGTGTTGGATCAAAAGTTTTAACTTAAAACATGTAACCAACAGATGTTGTTTTCAGCACCAAGGACATCGACCGCCGGCCATTTTGTTTCAGCCTTCTGAAAGAGATGGAGAAATACTATTGACAAAAATCCATGTGTTCTGGCGCATTTTAATAATGATAAGCGTATTGCAAATTCATGCCTGAAGGCTAATTGCAAATAACAAAGATAAAAGAACATTGAGACAAGGTACAAAATAACTTCAAAGTCTACATAATAACACGAGGTAATTGTCTAAAACTATAGCTATGTATAGAACTATGTCAGAAGGGTTTGACTTCTCTTTTGTAAACCATGGAATACGTTGTGAAGATATATGAATAAGTAAGACAACCTACGATCCAATTGCCATATGTGCTTCTTTGTCATCGCTGACTAGTCACAATTATCGGTGTTGACAATAGCAAAGTATACAAAGCCGTGCTATAAGATAGAGGAGCATTTGGCTCAAATACTTTTAACGGTACTTTTAACGTCGAGAAAAACAGTCGTAAGAGAAGGCACTGCAAGAAAATCCTATCTTAAAGCATGTTCCACTTTCCGACCAAACGTTAACTTTACGCCTGCTTTAAAACATGCTTAAAGTTTAGATTTCACACAGTGCTAGGAAGGTATTCACCAGTTTCCCATCCCCAGAATGCATTGCGAAAACAGGGGTCTAAACTTAATTTGCATAGGACAGGATTCAGGAAAGCATTGGAATGATCCTGTTGACGTTAAACAGCATGTTTTCAAGTGTGTTTTGAGGTGTTGGGGCATTTTATGCTCAAGGTTAATCAAATTACTATGGGTCGAATCTGACAACAAATAGAGAATGAATTTTTTAGAATGAATTGTTTGTAACGTTATAGTGGTGACGCTATACTGATGCTGTAACGTTACAAACCACATGTTCCGTGTTGAAACGAACACAAAAACTTCACTTGTTGTCAGATTCGACCCATAGTAATTTAATTTACCTTGACCATAAAATGCCCCAACACCTCAAAACACAGTGAAAATCAAGCTGTTTAACGTCACCAGGATCATTCCGATGCCTTTCTGTCCTATGCAAATGAGCTTTAGACCCCTGTTCTCGCAATGCATTCTGGGGATGGGAAACTGGTGTATGGCTGAAATTCTGTCACCATGCCCCAGGTGAAGAGCGTGTTCTCCGCCACACGTGACCGCCGAGTGGAGTTTTTCCTGTTCGGCTGGATCAACCCCGGCGCCATTGTGATCGTGACGTCAGGGGTCAAACCGGACGGGTACGAGATCGAGAAGTAGTGAGTATTCAAACAAACAGCGTCTCAGAGCGAACAAGAGCTGGATGTTTGTGGTGGAAAAATGATTGATTTAGATAACGGAAAGACTTGTTGATAATACTGTAACTTGTCCCAGTCATTTTAGAACGTATGCTCTGTAAAATTCACATAAACTTGACCCCAGTGTTGACGTCACACTTCAGAGAAGCCACGTGACAAGCTTCACTGGGTCAGTCTACTGAAGAAGACCAGAGTGACTGGTCGAAAGCTCTTGGTGAGAACATCTACCTTTTGTGTTGGAATAAAGTTTTACCTTGAAACGTGCCCTCTGCTACTGTTCTCCAGTTGCTGGTTGTCGACAGACGATGGGATGGTTTATGCCTTCATAGGACCAGTGCTGTTTATCGTGGTGGTGAGTATATTGCATCAGGTTGAATACTGTGTATTCATCTATGTCTTAATTAATTTATACATTTCTGAATCATTACTTGACAGCCCTGCTTCTTGATTTGTTCTTGAATAGGTCAACTTCTTCATCTTGTTCTTTGTCATCAAGACCTTCATGTCCATCAAGGCGAACTGCAAGAAGTCGGACATCCAGAAGACCAAGTAAGACTTTGTAACATTACCATCTGTTGTATGTTGTTTGCAATTCATACCTTTCTATATAGCTACCACTACCTCCTGGATACCTGCACATAGGTACCTTCGCCAAGAAGGTTATGTGTTCAGTAGCGTTTGTCCGTTTGTCTGTCTGTGTACAGAATAACTCAAGTCTGTGTCTGTCTGTGAACAGCATAACTCAAGAAGCTACTGATGGATTGTCATGAAACTCGGCAGGTACGTAGGTCTTGATAAGACCAATAAAAACCTAGATTTTGGGCCCTCTGGCAACTTTCGTTGGTACTGTAGCAGATTTTCCTGTTTTGATATCTCATGATCTGGAGATGCTAGGGTCGAATTTTGCATGGTAAATAGCTCTTGGACTAGGGAAGATTTAACATCAGTTTGGGTCCCCTAGATGGTTGTCCTAGGACTGCAGGAGCGTTTGTTGAAAAATCTTCGAAGGAGAATAACTCAAGAACCCGTTGACGGATTGTCGTGATTTTTGGTACAGTGTATGTAAGTAGTGGAAGTGATGCTTGACTTTGTCACACAGACTTGTCTGCAGTAGTCTTATCTTATACAAGTTTAGAATGAACGTGAACATGAAACCGTTGTTCCTTCAGGGCCGGGATCCGTGCCTGTGCCGTGCTGATGCCGCTGTTAGGAGTGACGTGGTTGGTGGGTGTGATCGCGGTGGACCAGACCACGGTGCCGTTCCAGTACATCTTTGCCGCCGTAAACTCCGCCCAGGTAGGCAGGGGGTGGTTTTCAGGCGCCTATTTAGTAAGGGTAGCTGGACGTTTCGCCGCCAGACGGGTTCGCGGTTAGACGATTCGCGGTCAATTCCTGGACGATTCGCGGCCACCGTATACACGCCATAAAGGCTGCTACAATCACTGTCTGTTGCATAAGATAACTTTTAAGGACTGTATATTTACACAAAGAGGTTATAGTCTCCACGATAAACTTTAACCTCCTTGATTTCCGCATCTTATAACATTTTGAAACTGTTTTGTAACATAACAGTTACGTAACATACGTCTTGTTTGTGACCTTAGCCGGACCGGCCGGAATATTACCTAAAATGGGCTGAAAAAGTGTACAAAATATTTTCATCACATTATCAAATAAATATTAAAATTGCCAGTCTTGATTTTTGCTGTCTAGAAACGCGAAAAAACATGTTGACAGCGAATAATAAATGACCCGGAAGTGACCGCGAATCGTCTAACCGCGAACCCGTCTGGCCGCGAAACGTCCAGAAACCTTTAGTAAGATAGCGTGGGAGGTGTGTGTGTGTGGAAGTAAGAAGTCAACAGAAGAAAATACGGAGAATCTAATGGAATATAAAAGCATGGGGGCACAGAGGAAGCAGGTAGTTGACCGCTGAAATTGGCACGACACCAGCTTCCGACTTTGGCTTCCGAGTTCTAGCTTAGCCGACTTGTACTTGGGCACGGTTTCGAAGACACGTTCGACGTGGCCTAACTCTCGTTCTATCTCCTAAGATGTGTGTGTCATTCTAAAACATAAGGAGAAATGTCCTAAGCTGAAAATGAATCTTTTTTTTCTTTCACCTTAAGGGACTGTTCATCTTCATCTTCCATGGAATACAAAACGAAGACGTAAGTAGCACCACATTCACACACAGCAGAACAATCCATATATATTACAACACAATCAAGAATGATTCCCTGTCATACACATGGCACTATTATCATTCACGATGAAGCAAGTAACTTTCAAGTAACTGTACTTTCAAGCACATGGCCCTGCCCAAAAAATTTTAACTGTACAACTCAAGTCTTACAGTCAAGAATGGGCATTCCATCGCTTCTATGACGTCACGTATGCAGATAACACACGTGACTCAGTGAGCAGTGGATCATAGGTTGTAGAAAGTCCGTGGCGACCCCCGTCTTTGTTGAGGGGTTGATGCTATTATTATGTTTACCTTCGCAGAAGGAAAACATATTGTTTTTCCTCTGTTTCTTCTTCCTCTTCTTCTTCTCTAATAAACAAATAAGGTTAATGACCTGAACCAGACGTCTGTCACCATGGTACATCATGTTGCAATTTTATAGCAGGAGGGATTTAGACTCCTGCCACCATATATATGAATGTGTTTGAGTAAGAATTAACAGAGCAGACCACATGCAAAGGTAAACATTATGCATTTGCTTTACAAACGTTACATTTCTAGTCATACGGGCTCTTTATTTCTCATAATACACATGTACCAGGACAGTATGTTTTAGTATTGACGATTCACCTCCTCCATGCCCTCAGGTGAAAGAGTCGTTCCGGCGGTACCGGAGTCGTGCCAAAGTGTCCTCCCTGCGGACCGACTCCAGCCACTCAGCACTCAACGCCAAGCTGATCGGTAAAAACAACCTGACCAACCTGACCACCATGCCGTCACCGAAGAGTCAACATGTCACCGTATGTGTTTTTTTTACCTCCGGATAAGGAGGTATTATTATGTTTACCGAAGGAAAACATATTGTTTTTGCTCAGTTTCTTCCTCCTCCTCCTCTTCTTCTTCTTCTCCAAACATTGACCTCTGACCTGACCAATGACATGATTTGTTGACGTCTGTCACCATGGTGACTGGTGTTGGGTTTCATAATGTTGCAATTTCATGGTCTGCTCTGCTCCTGTCACCATATACTAGTAGTACATGTAAGTGAATGTATTTGAGTAAGAATTAACAGAGCAGACCATGTCCGAAGGTAAACATTATGCATTTGCTCTGCAAATATTACTTCTCTAGTTTTGGATGTGTTTGATAAATGTGAAACTAAATGATAAGAACATAGCACTATTTCTTTCTCTTCTGCTTCCTCTTTTTCTTCTCCAAACAAATAAGGTCAATGACCAGGGCCAAACGTCTGTCACCATGGTAACTGGTGTGGGGTTACATCATGTTGCAATTTGCAAGTGCCATGCAGAACTGAGTTCAAGAGGGGCTTCATGGTCACCATATATATGAATGTGTGTGAGCAAAAATAAACATAATGCATTTGCTTTGCAAATGTTACATTTCTAGTTTGTTGATAGCATAGTGTTCCTCTTTTCCAGATCAAATAACCAACGAACGACGTCCAGGAAAAGAGCAGTGTACAGCATTGCGGCTGTTGGCCATTCTGGAATGGAACCAGTCGTCGATCAAGGAAAAGTGGACGAAGAAAAATGCAGAGGAAGTCTCTTTCAAAAACGATCAACTTGCTAACATACGGGTGGGCATTATGACGAGTTTACATACATACAGAATCAAAACGAGTTCTGTTTTGAATCTAAGTAAAGATGATAGATATATTGGTTTATTGTTTATTTGCACGTTCGTTTGGTTGAGTGGTTATCTATCGAACGTTACTTGTAAATAAAACCAAGGGGTACTTAATATTACCACAATGTATTTCATGTGAGTTAAAAATACGACAGGTACGTTGACCCTTTTACTTTTGATATGGATGAAGCGCAGCGCTATGTTCTAAAACTGCTTAACGTATGCAAGGGGTCATGTACTGCTACATCTGTTTACTCTCAAGTATTAATGTACACCCTTCATTTAGTTATCATTCTTGCTGTCGTTTAACCCGTCATTTGAAGTGCAATGCACATCAAATGTGTGTACGCTTAAAGTTGCATTATGTAACCTTAGGACGATACAAAAAGGAATTTTTTTACCATTTCTTTACAAAGTAAGTTGAATCAATCCTACTTCAGTGCAAATAAATGCCATTCAGGAAGTGGAGGTGCTAAAATATGACGTCATACGAGTGTGTTTCAAAGCTGGAAACACAGCTGTCAGCCATGTTTGTTTACATTCTGGTATTTTGTGGTGGTACCACGAACTAAGTGCACCTCGTGTGGGCTGTTTTAGCGCCAACCATAAATGTCTGAAATGTGAGATTCTTGCACAAATATGTTGAAAGGTGGAAGTAAATTACAATCACGTAGATTTCTTCAATTAAAATATTTAAATTTTAGTGCACAAATGTTACATAATACCTCTTTAAGAGCAATAATCCGAAGCACAATTTCCAGTAATATATCTTATTTTCTTGTATATTTTGTTAAGAATACGTGTTAGAATAAAACGTGATTTTGTGGACACAGTGTAACAGGGACGTACCATTTGTGCTGTATAATCATGGCAGCGAAACTCAATTATTGAGTAAGATCTGTTTCGAATGCACATGAATACATGAGTGTGTATACGTAATCGGGAAAATATGGGTGACTGTCAGTCTAAATCAGACTGCAAAATGTCACAAGCTTAAGCTGTAATATGTTTGCTTCCACTTTCGGTATCGTACGTGTACTATATACCGTATTTCCTGGTTCCCTGTTGTATGGTGGTAACATTTTGTCCGTATTAAATATTGGCAGAATATACGAGGTGAATATCTCAATTGACATACACTGCGTGTGTTTAGTTTTTATATAAAGCACGACTATTTACACACTACTACACTTTGAAGTCATTTGCAAATGAAATGGGCGATCTTTTTTTTTCGGTAGGGCATGACATAGTATGTCGTAACACATTTGGCATTTAATCAACACTAACACTTAGTACCCCTGGGAACTGAAAGCACATTTCTGACATGCAAGAAAGCTGCACCATAGTGCTGTAGTTTCACTTACGAACATAGTGAATTTGCACACTGTACATTAAGTACACAATGGCAAAAGGGTGAATGAGGGGGATTTCATGACTGAAAAAGAAAATACTCATATCAACAATTTCAATCTAAAGTTTTCCTTTACATAGTGACAAGTACTAGCATATACGTGTACATGAATCGAGAACACGCTATTAGTACCATCAAACTCTTATCCGTTAACTCTTATCACAGATAATCTGACGATCAGTTCTCTCCACTTCTTTCGGTTTCCTGTTCCTCTTAAATGGTTATGCTGGTCCATTCCCTGATGTCGTCCTCCCATCTTTCCCGTTGTTTACCGTTGCTTTGGGATGTGGTTTCTGTACTAGAACGTACCCCTAGAACCACCAAACTACCGAATACCAATAAGCCTGTGCCGGTATGTTGATATTCTGATGTCCTTCACCAAATAATCTCTTCGTCCCTTTCCCTACCTCCCTTCCATCGTCCTTCATCTCTCTCTCCCTTGCGTCAAAATCGTATGGCAATCACTCATAATCAGATACAGATTCATATGTAGAAACATGCCCATAGCCAGGGGGGGGGGGCGGGTGTTCGGAAGAACCCCCCACAAGGCTCAAAGGTCCACTTTTTGGTCCACTTTTATGTTAAGGTCCACTTTTTGGTCCACGAAATACATATCATGTACAGATATACAGATACAGATTTTCCGAGTACGATGACCGTGTCAGTTCCTACACCTGAGTGAGGAAGTTTGACACGGTGGCCTTCGCGTGGATTTGTTTAAGGTGAATAACAGGTTGTGAATCTGAGACCCACACACTTTGGGAATCCATCTTCTCCAGCGGTACCATATCGAGGGAGACGTGCTGGTTCCGGTTGGGATGCTTGCAGCGAGCTGCCGGATGACTTGGTTACGCTCAAGGTCCGCCTTGATCAAAACAGCCCGCCTGGCCCTGATCTCGTCCGCCAGCTGAAGAGACTTGTCCCTCTAATTGCGGGGCCGGATACAAAGTGCCTTTCCCAAGGGCACAACGTCGGGGTGCGGACATGCCCCTGTGCTCGAACCCGGGATCGAACCCGGGTCCCCTTGTTTGAACGCCGCACGCTGACAACCACTTCGCCACACGACGCCACTTGCGTCAAAATAGTACTAGTAGATCAGAATCGACCCTTCACCTCCAGGCAATAATAGCCGAGAACAACGTTGCTTTGCAATTGGTTGCTTACGGCGATAGACAATGGGTTTTCCCCAAAGCAGAGTGTATTTATAACAGGCGCACAGTTTTGGGCGGCACAGTTCCGTATGGACCGCCGTTTGCGTGTGTCTCCTCAATCCTATGTGATCATGAGTACAAGGAAACGACTGGCCACTGTCAAGACGTTTGAACACGACCCACGCACCACCATGGTAAGTTTCGGTGAGGCCAAAGGAACTGGTACTATGGTTATACTTTAACAATATGGCGGATTTGTCGCTTTTGATACTACCGTCGTTGCTTGAAATATCAGTCATACTGAGTGAAACTAGCACTTTTGTTTTCCACCAAAGTACTACTTTCTAGCAATTAAGAACCAGACTATGTGTTTTTTCAGATAGCTAAGTCTTCAGTTAGGCTGAGTTTCGGGGCATAAAAACGACTGGCAACAGGGGCATATGTTACGTTAGTGAAACTACATATAACACTGTGTTCGTGATTGTACTCGTACCACTAGCATTAGTTCCACTCAGTCGACATAATTATGATGTGTGCGCCTCAACTGGTCTCAACTGGAATGAGGAAGCATTCCGGTTGAAGGAAGGCAGATCATGTAACGCCACTATGGAGGGGAAATGTTTGAGTCCGTTGGTTAAAAATATCCCCCGCCCGCCCACCTGTATATTGTTCCCGCCAACAAAGGGCATAACGACCGTAGGCGAAAGTGAAAGCAGAACATCGATATCCTCTATTCAGTCAACGTAACTCGCATTGAACTTGCATGTATACCATTACTTATATGGACCACAGTATTAGAAAGGGGAACACAAGGAAGAGTTTTAGGTAGTTGGCTTGTTTTGATTTCAGTGAGCGAAAACACTTCCTTGTCGGGCCACGACCAGCCGCAGGCCAAGACAAAGACTATGTTTGTTTATTTATTTGCTTGAACCATTCTTTATATCGCGTACAGGTATTAACGATCGGAAGTAGAGCGTGACGACTGTGTATACGCACACGGAAGCACATACCGTATATACCCGTATTTACTACCAACGCAACAGTAACACAAGAAAGGCACTTCGAGTGTTTTGTTCCGGTTTCGACCTTTGACCCCTCTCAAAGGGGGCGGTTCGGACACACTCACTTGGCATGTTGCTGTTTAAGGTAGCAGAACACAGTTTTCGCCCTATGGGGATTTCTATAGTTAAGGACCCCAAGATGACTCACATCGACGCGGTAAAAATTATAGTAGGGTGCACTTCACAAATACGAAAATCGAATATGTTTGAGAAGAAGGTACAAACTACAAAATATCTAGAAACCAAAAAATCCTGTCGGCGTATCTACTCGTAAAGGCCCGGTCACACTGGCCGAACTTTGCTGGAGCGTTCCTTTAACGGTAGGGACGGGGTCCGAATTTCGACAACGCTCGTCACCGCGCCCAAAATGTGGGGAAAAAAATAAAAACACGGGCGTTGACTTAGCGGTGTACCGCTGAAGCCGACGTTGCTTTAGCGTTGGTTTAGCGGTAGCGAACGTTGGTATAGCGGTGACGCAAGCGTTGGTATAGCGGCGTTCTGCGCATGCGGTTTAGCGGCATACCGCTTGTGACTACGGAGATGAACGGATCGTTTTGTAGTAGTACAAGTTCTGTTCTGTGTGTGGGGGGACTTATAGCTTTAATAAACATCATTTTGTTAATCTATTCTTGACTACGTTATTTAATTAATAATGAAAATAAAACTTTGCAGATTGCAAAGTTCCCCTGTGACCCCAATAAAGTGATTGTCCGTGTGACCCTTCTTTGAACATTTTACGTGTGGCCCCAAAATAATTGCACACTAGTGCACCAATCATTGCAAGTCTCTCAGCATCCGTGGTGATACAGTTTTACTGTAACTTCGAGCAAATTCGATATAGATGAGGCCTGAACTCAACGGCAGCTCGATTCCAAATGAGCACCTGGTCCATTTCTCACCGTATTTATAGCCAAATTCTGGTCCCGCTCCGACACCTCTATACCAACGCCAAACCAAAGTTCATTGCCGACATGGATCGCTGCTTCAACGCCTGACACCGTTCCAGCAACCCCGTGTCCGCTCGTAAAACGCTTGCAACCGCTCCAGCGAAGTTTGTGCAACGTTTGTGCAACGTTTAATCGCCGCCCGGGCAACGCTGGCGAAGCAGCGGTGGTCAAGCGTTCAAGATTTCTGCGTTGGCCTAGCGGACCCAAGCGTCCACGAACTTGTGTCTAGCGATGCCAAACTTTGACTGGGCGTTGGTGGAGCGGGGGTGAACTTTGCCGGAGCGGAAAATTTCCCCCTCCTCACCGCTCGCAATATTTTGTGCAGCTCAAAACTTTCGGAGCGGTAGGAGGGCCCCTCCAGAAACGTCAGCGGTGGCCGGGCGTACACGGCGTTGCTTTAACGGGGGCCAACTTCTGTTTAGCGGTGGTGAGCGGTTTCGAGCGGTGATGAATTTTATTCACCGTTCAAGCAACGCTCCAGCAAAGTTCCGCCAGTGTGACCGGGCCTTAACGTACACTTTGAAATCCTCCTCTACGGACGTGCCCTGAACTGCAGCCGACTCACCAGGAAAGCCAGTTGCGCATGCAATACGGCGCATTTATACACGAACTGCAAAACCTTCACAGTTCAAATCACACAGTCTCAAACTCGATACATTCCTACACCACACAGCACAACTTACATCTGGCTGACGCTCTTGTCAGGCTTTCTACCCAGCCTTCAAGAATATTCGCTGTACTACTTTCTATACCTGCGTCACTGTGTGCTGCTACCTTAAGCCTTGAATATTTCAGCCGTTTAATATTCGATACAGATTCGGACAATAAGACTTTGAGTCGGACATTCGTAGCGAATGCATGGATTGGTAAGACGTTGTGACCTAACGAGGAGAGCGTTCTACATGCATTTTGCTTGTGGGCGAGGCTACTCTCCAAGCAGAGGTTGGTGGGGAAGATTGTTACCTTTCTATATACATGCCCCATTTTTTGTCGCTACCGCCACCAACAGAAAAAAAAACAGAAACAAGCATCACTTCAGCTACCTACATAACAAAAATCAAGGCAACCGGTCAACCAGCTCTTGAGTTATCCTCCTTCAGATATTTTTTTAACAAACACTCCTGTAGTTCCAAAACAAGCCGCTAGGGGGCCCAAGCCCATGTAACTTCTCCTCTAGCCCGAGAGCTATCTCCCATCCAAAATTCCTGACCCTAGCATGTCCAGATCACGAGATATCAAAACCGGAAGTTCTGCTGCAGTACCTAAGAAAGCCGCCAGGGGGCCCAAAGTCTAATCATTTTTAGCTTCCCATCTACCAAGTTTCATGACAATACATACTAAGCTTCTTGAGTTATGCTGTTCACAGACAAACAGACAGACAGACAGACAAACAGACAGACGGACAAACTCTACTGAAAACATCACCTTCTTGGCGAAGGTAAAAAAGAACAGAAAAAACGGGCATAACGTTATATATAGAAAGGTATAACAAGAGTAGGCGGGGTGGGACCAGGAAGAGGGGACATTGTGAAAATGAAAGAAAAAATGACCCACGCACTGGATGATGAATGAGCAAGTGTACAGATAAATTCAGAAAAGTGGACATGAAATACTTCAACGTAACTGTTCATCCACCCTTCAATATTTCAGCTTGTGATCCTGATATTGCTGGTCGACATCGTGTCAGCTACTACACCTGCTACACCAGACATCGAGTGTAGGGGTCACAGTCGAAAGTACAAAACGCATGACCGGGACGGGAACCCTGTCTGCGTGCCGTGCTCCCCTTGTTCTCCCGGGTACGGGGTCCTGAGACCGTGTACAGAGTACCAGGACACGGTGTGTGAGGCCTGCGAGCCGGGGAAGACCTTCTCCGGAACGGAGAGTCCCTGGCGGAGGTGCGAATCGTGCGTCCAATGTGCTGCCCACGAACTGAGGAGACGAGAGTGCACCCCCACCAGGAATGGACGATGCAGTTCCTGTGAAACAGGTGATGCATATTCAAAGTTACAAAACTTTTTGGATCGATCCGGATTCCAAAGCGAATCAATTCGGCTCGTACCCTGGATGCCAAACTAGTATCGGGCCGTTAGCCGATTTCCTTCGGCAGCCAAG